GTCGTCGTCGCAATAGTGGTGGTAGAAGGAGCAGCAGCAGTAGTAGCAGTAGTGGTAGTGGTGGTGGTAGTGGTAGTGGTGGTGGTAGTGGTAGTGGTAGTGGTAGTGGTAGTGGTAGTGGCAGCAGCAGCAGCAGCAGCAGCAGCAGCAGGAGGAGGAGGAGGAGGAGTAGTAGTAGTAGTGGCGGTACAGCCGCAGCAGCAGCAGTAGTAGTAGTCGTCGTTGTAGTCGTACTAGTAGGAGCAGCAGGTTAGCAGCAGCAGCAGCAGCAGAAGCAGGAGGCGTACTCATAACCTGTATGTGCAGCAGGGTCCGACTCGCAGGATCACCGGCCAGTTCAGGTTTTGAGGCTTCTGTGCCTTTGTCGAAATCCTCACCGCAAATATCAAAGTTAAGGCTGAGCGTTTTTAGTTTAAGGTGTTTTCGCCTATTAGCCAAGTCAGGACAAACAAGCCTAATGTCTTGGGGCCTCTAAAGGCACAGACGAAGAAAACAGTCCAGCAATCTGCAGTTCCGAAGCTGTTAGGCTCACGCTCGGACACTCCAGAGCTTTAGGGAATTTGGTTTTGAATCACTCAATTATCACTCACTACACGGCACCACGCACCGTGTACGACCAAGCCATCGACACACATGGAAGAATGCCAGAGATGCCTTTGGCATCTTCCTATTTGAGGAGGTACTACCATCATGTTACTCGGGGTGTGCGGCAGGTCGCACAGCGCCTGCTCCTGCTCCAAGTCAATGCCTCGAAAGGAATGCAGTGGACTCTGGCAGTCTCGGGTGCTGGAACTTCTGCAGCAGAGGTTTGGGTCTGGAGAGGATTCAGCTTCCGATCAGACTGCATTCGCAGATCGCACTGGGGGGGACAATGCTGCATTCGGAGCACTCTTGGCGTGGCAGAGCTCTCGGATCTTGGTGATCATCCTCAGATGCGCCAGCAAAAGATCAGCCAACGGCAGGTGCAATCAGACCTGCCTCCAACTAAATGCTTCCCCCCTTTTCGAAAGAAGTGTCGTCGTCATGGCCGGCCGGCTGCCAGGTTTGACTCCCATGCAAACGCGCACGAGCTCCACGACCTGTTGGGAACCGAGCTTGTTCGCCAGTTGGCATCGCTGGAGCACTTATGGTACGTGTGTTGCCACTTATGTTGATCGTGTGCTTGCTTCTTTGCTGGGCAGAGCTCCTGGGACGCCCCAGTCAATTCTTGAATGAGCTAATGGGCTCAAGCTGCTAAAGCTGCACAAAGCATGCAGTCAGAAGCCACGCCTGGCAACCAGCACCCAAACCAGTGGCCCGAAACCATCATTTCGGATGCACAGAAAAAACGCGGGCCTCGGTGTCCATTTCCGATGGGAAACGCGGAAGCTGGCCTCTGTGGCACTTGTAGTCTGCCTATGCTTCTTGAATGGAAATTCTCGGAACATTGATAGCCGCTGCGGTTGCCTTCGTCGTTCGATGCTGGATTGCTAGATGGCATAGAGGCGAAAGGGGCACCAAAGACAAGTCGCATCTGATCTGTAGAGATTTTCACCTGTGTCCCAAGCTCCTGAAGGCTGCACTCCAAGCCCTGGCTTTCCAAGACCTGCATGAATGCTACTACACCCTCGAACCCTACATGGTTTGACCCGACATTTCAAGGCGCCTCTCCACAGATCATCTGACAACTTGCTGCACTGGGTACAGGCCCAACCCCCCGTGCTTAGGAGGGGGAGGGGCAGAAAATGTAGATTACAATTTTCACTCCCC